TTTTTTTTTTTTGTTGTTTTTGTTTTTTTTGTATTTGGTACGGGGTCTCACTACTCAGCTGTGACTCATAGTGATCCTCATGTCTCACCTCCCCAGTGCTGAGATTACAGGTGTGCGCCACCACTCAGTGGTCAGATTTTTGCACCCAGGGATGGAGACAGCACAGCATGCGATGCCAGGGATCAAACCCAGATCCCTGTGCTTGCCAAGCAGGCACTTAGACCGCTGAGTTATCTCACCGACCCCTAGAAGTCTAGTCTTAATATTCAGATATATAGAGATTTTATTCTTCTGTAGAAAATAGTTTAGATTTCTAGTTGACAAAAAGCATTATGAATCATTATAATCTTTTGAAATTGTTATTTGCTTTATGTTTATAAAAGTGCTCCTGGATGGTTGGGAAATTGTATGTTCTGTAGTTGCTGGTTATGGTGCTCTGTGTGCCGCCAGTAGGTCGCTTTGCTTACTGTGATGTTTAGACCCACATCCTCGCTCTATTTGTCAGATCATTGGTCAGTTACTGAGAGAGGTGTGCTAGAGCACCTACTGATGATGGCTTTCTTTATTTCTCTGTGTAGCTGTGGCAGATTTGCTTTCTGTCTTTGGACCCATGCTATAAGATGCATGTAAATTTGGCATTATGTTGTCTTCCTAGCACATTGAACACTTTGTCATGATCATTGTGCTTCTTTATCGCTAGTGATGGCCATTGCCTTGAAGCCCATTGTGACTGATACCAGTAGCTGCATGGTTTTTTGTGGTTATTATTGAATGGTAAATTTTCTCATCCTAAATTTTCTGCATTTCTGCACTTACAATGTTGGCTTATAGACAAAAGTTTGTTTTCTTCACTTGCTCAAAGTATACCTAGTTTTGTCGTTAAAGGCATAAGGAAGACATGTTATATAATTGAATCTAAATTGTTATCAGTTTTTTAAGATTGATAACTCTTTAGAGAACAAGTTTTCAAATTCAGAAGTGTAACAAATTTATCTTCCTGGTTTGCATATAAATATGCAGGAAGTGATGAAGCTTTGTCATCTTCTGTTCTTTCTCTGGCTCCCATTCAACGAAGTGATATCCAGGGACTGATACATCTGAGGCTGGCATTTCTTATCTGGTGTTTGGAGAGTCTGGCTTGCGAGGCGGTGTGTTCATCACCATGTACCTAATCCCAGTGAATACAGCCCTACCTAAGGAGCTCGTAATGCCTCTTTTTGCACAATACTATGAAAATTCCCTTCTTGGTTTGCAGGGCTGCGACTCCCAAGTGAGTGTGTCGGAGATGTCCTGCACAGAGAGTGCGTCCTCTTGTCACTCTCTAGAACACGGCTCAGTTCCGGAGATTCTCATTGGCCTGCTTTACAATGCCACCACAGGAAGATTATCAGCAGAAGTGATAAAAGGCAGCCACTTCAAAAACCTGGCTGCAAACAGACCACCCAGTGAGTGCAAACATGTTTTAAATTGAATGCTTTCTATACTTAGGGGACTTTCAGCGTTAAGAGTTTCAGACCTATCCTTGTAGCCTTAACCAAGCAAATTCAAATGGTGAATCATCAGCTAATCTGTTTCATGTTTTCTATTTCCAGTCTTTTGGGAAGTAGGACAATTTGAAATTCAAAATATTAATTATATGGTGACAGGAATTTTAATTTTTATAGTGTTTGCAGAATAAATTAGTCCTATCATAGTTATTATCTTTTAATACCAGAAAAAGTTTTAAGTAATAATGACAAATATGAACAAAAATATGTATAACTATTATTGTTAAATGAAGATTAGTGTTGTGTTCTGTCTGCATGTAGTACTATAAACTAATGTATTTCTTTCTCTACTTCCTTTAACAATTTAAGAAGATATTGTTTTTTCACTTTTTTTTCTTCTTAAAAATATTAGGGCTTAAATTATAATACAAAGAAAAAATAAATAAAAATATTAGGGCTTAGGGTAAAGGGCAGTGGGAGAGCACATGCTTAATATGCTGGAGATGCTAGTTTGATCCCAGCACTGCAAAAAGATATTTTTTTTTAAAGTTTATAAATTAGTACTGCCAGCAGAGTCTTTTCTTCAGTGGAATAAAGAAAAGACCAAATAAAGGAAGGTTTGGTCATTGTCATGTGTTCTGAAGGGCAGAGCCCAGCAGCAGCCCTTCACCCTTCTGCCGATCTTGCCCTTCTCCTCAGCATCCTCTTGGTTCAAGTGATAGAGTAGGTCCTTGGAGTAGAGAAATCAAACCCAAGTATAGTTCTAAAACTGCTTGTAGGTATCTATAAGCAGTAAGCTGGGAAGACAGCAACATATCTATCCTCTGTGAAATTAAAACTGTTAATGTCCTGACCTAAAAATGTGACAGGAAACCTTGAATAATACCATCTTACAGATTCCCTCCAACTTACTTAATGTGCTCTTTACTCCAGGAATCAAGCAGCTCCTAAAGGAGGGGAGGCTTTGTCTATTTTTAACTTAAGTGGACTTTGCTTCTAGGTGTAATAAAAATTTATTATTCAATGAAAGTGAAAAGTCCTAAAAATATATTTGATTTATACCAAGTAATGTTGGGAAGCTGGTTTCTTATCTCCATCATAGAATGCACCTACCCCTGAATTAAAAGTCTAAAGACTAAAGTGTGTTCATGTTTCTACTCTTAGACAAACAATCTGATAAAGTTAAGGTCATATCTTATAGAGGGCTGTTAGACTCAGATCTGACAAAGATGCACAGAAGACAGAATTATTGTCAGTGGACTTTTCATTTCAAAAGAATGCAGTGGGAAGAGAGAAGCCATTCCTACAATGAACACCCTAGGAAGTGGGACTTGATTATCTTCATTCATCCACACTGAGCATAGCCTGAGACATAACCTGTATGGAAGATTTGCAAACAGAAGATAGCCATGCTGAGGCCCCGGCCCCACAGGAGTGCCCTCCCAGCCTAGACACCTGGACGCAAAGATGCTGAGCACTGCACCAGACAAAGCATCACTCCCAGGCACACTGAGCCACAGCTATCACTTTGCTTCTCAGGCCTTAGCTAGTAGTTTAGTGATTTTTTTGGACAAGTACTTTATTGGTGATGTTTAAGAGTAGGTAAATAAAATGATAGTCTGATACAAATAGAGAAACAGGAATTAGAACTGTAGAAGAACAAGGGCAAGTTTGGGTAGTATATAACTTAGGAATGATTATCATCCAAGTACAAGGGTCGGGGATATTGGAGTCTCAGTACCAAAACTCCCACATTCATCAAAGCTCAGTCTTTCCTGTGAGACTGGGTTACAGCACTTGCCATTCTTTTTTTTTTTTTTTTTTTTTTTTTTTTTTTTTTTTTTTTTTTTTTTTTGCAGAACTGGGGATTGAATTCAGGCCTTTGCGCTTGCCAGGCAATTGCTTATTCTACTGAGCTATCTCCCCGCGCCCCGCCCCCCTGCCACTAGAACTAGATTTTCACTGTAAAATTGATGAATAATGTTAGAAAATAACTAGGAAGTCAATTTTTAAAATGATTATATGAAAGTAGGATGTTTGTATAGTAAAACATAAGACAATTTCATTAGTTCTAAACCGTGTATAGTACTTAAGATTGTAGCCCTTGATATGTGGCTAGGCTGTAATCTTTGAATATGTTAGAAATGGAATAATCCCAGTTTTATTCAAAGAAATGATACCAACATTCAAGAGTAAAAATTGTGATAGCTGTATTTTATTTTGCTTAACTTAATTTCATATTACATTGGGAGTAATAAAACTATTTGAAATATTGAATATTGCATGGTTGAAAAAACAGTATAACAATAATGATGATTGATAATGATTTTATTCAGCCTTTTATATCTGATAATTTGCATGATTCTATGTTCAATGTGCTTTAGACCAAGAGGGTATCATGATAAAGATGTCCCCCTTTAAAACAGTGTAATTTTTAAGATTACACAATGACTTAAAATTTTTCATTCCATGAAATTTACCCAGCAGCCCTTTGTTCAACCCGCTACCTGAATTAAAATGCTAAAGTTCTGTGTTTTTCCACTCCAGTGAACAGTGTTTCCTCTTTAATTCTGACCTTTGACCCTCTTTCACCCAACGATTGACATCTGGTCATTATTTCTTTTACTGCTTTCCACCCCCTGTTGTCAGATGGACTGTTCTGTTGTCTAAAACACTTGATAGGTGGCCAGGTTTATATAATCCGAGGTGAGTTCCTGTAGAGGCTAATTGGATGTTGTCTTTTCATGCAAAAATAAAATACCCTAAAACTTGCCAGCAGTGAAGCTGTCCACCATGTTGGTTTCTGAAAAAATGCACATTTTATTATCTGTGGTACTTTAAATAAAACTAACTAAGAATTTATCTCTGATTATGGATGATGGTATTCAGAGCATCTATAAAATAAGCAAAACTTTTTTTAAATAATTTTTTTTATTTTTCCATTTGTATTTTGATTTATACAACAGAAATATTTGATGAAAAACATGGCAATTGTCTTTAAAATTCATTGAAATCTCGATGTGAAATACACATGATGGATCACCATGCTGAAGATCATTTGCATGAGTCTGTTTAAGAACTCCAGAGCACAATCTTGGAAAGAGAGGACTTATCTCCCATAATAGAAACAGTCAATGAAATGTTATGCTTCACTTTGTACACTAAGCATCACATTAATTTCTTTTCTAACTCATAAAAATAATTAAGATATCATACTTAAAACTTCACATTAAATTGTGCCTAAAAGAAGCCCTGTAGTGTTTATTTGAACTACCCCCGAAAAGCACATTAAATGTACTCTTGCATGAAACCAGAAGGGAGTTTTACTTGCTTTGCTAAACTTTGAACCCTTGATGCATTCGGCTTCATTTTAGCCCTTAAATGTTTTAAGAATATATTTAAAAACCACATCCATGCAGAGATTTTTTTGACATTTCATCCTAAGCTGTTTTGATGTCATCTTTGCGTTCTTGTCTTTCTCTTCTCCTCTACCATTTGCCTTCATTTCTATTTGTTTGTTTACTCTTATTCTCTGAAAACACAGTGGAATGCTTCCCAGTGTTGTGGCTAATTAAGCTTGCTAAGTGTTTATGAATGCTACGATGTCCTGCTGGTGGAGCTAGAAGGGGGTTGGTGGTGGCTGGGGACGTCAGGGGAGGCACAGTGGGCGGAGGGTGGAGGAAGAGCTAGAAGGTGTACCTTTAAACTCTATCATGCGGAAATAGTGAGGGTAAGATATTATTACTCCCAAAATATTTTTGGCCTACTTAGCATTCTCTGTACTTGTCATACTTTATACGCATGTACATCAAAATGGAATTGGCTAAATTTCCATTAAATATTGTATACACCATATCCTTATAGATGTAAACACTTAATATTCTCAGCACTTATTATGAGAAAATTGTTTTGAGTTTGTTTCAAATGATATTTGTTGTATGTTGGTTTTTTTCCCTTTAGATACGTATGTTAAGTTAACGTTGCTGAATTCCATGGGTCAAGAAATGTCCAAATGCAAGACATCCATCCGCAGAGGGCAGCCGAATCCAGTGTACAAGGAAACTTTTGTGTTCCAAGTGGCCCTTTTCCAGCTGTCTGATGTGACACTTATCCTCTCTGTGTATAACAAACGCAGCATGAAAAGAAAAGAGATGATAGGATGGATTTCTCTAGGTCTGAACAGTTCTGGGGAAGAGGAACTCAGTCACTGGACTGAAATGAAGGAGTCTAAAGGGCAGCAAGTCTGCAGGTGGCACGCCTTGCTGGAGTCATGACGGCTGGGACGGGAGCTGGTCTACCCCAGGGAGCACTATCAGCAGTTATCACACTGCTCTGTTTACTGGTCCCCAGTAGAAGAGCTTGTTCTTTGAAGAATCACACCCAACATTCTACCAAATGCTTTAAATTCCACGGAAATAGCATCAACTACTGACGTGAATTAATAGCATGGCTGTGGTGGAGTTTGTCTGACAAACTGAGAAATGTACATTATTGTTGTTAAACTAACAGTCCTCCAGAAATTTAATAACATACTTTTGATTTGAAATTACTTCTACTTTAACCAAAAAAAAAATTCATGAGAGGTTATGTGATTTTAGTTATAACACTGTTTTAGTATCCCCCTTCATAGTATCCATAAAACATGTTTTGACTGGCAGATCCCTCGTGTTTATAATGGTAAGAAGATCACCATGCTATGTAATATGAAGGGTTTCTCACCTTGAAAATAGATTTTGTTTCTGATAAATTCATTCTGTGCCCTTACTTTCATTATGTCTCAATTTTTTCCATAGCATTAAATCTAAGTGGAAGCAAGCATTCATTTTCATAAAGAAATTTTTAAGGTTTTTTTTTAAGTTTATTTTTTCCTTTGCCTCTGCTTTTCTCCAAAGAGACCAAGTCAAGTCCTGGTCCCTTGTAAGCCTTTTGGACAGGTTGTACTGTAGAACTCTGTAACTTTCTGTTGAAAGCACTTCCTGTATACCTGTATTCCAATGTAGGAAACCAGTAGGACAGTACTTTGATTTAGAATTTCTTCTGTAATTGACTCTTTACAATTGTAGTAATATGGAAAAAAGTATAACAAACTGGAAAATATAGTAGATAAGCTGTTGAAAATTGAAAACAATTCAAGTTAAAGAAAACTTTTTCTGACCTGAGTGTTTAGTAACCAGCACTGCATAATCTAAATAAGAAGCTCTTCTGTCTGTACATCTGCACTAAATTGAAGAATTTATTAAGACTATTCAGCTCGCAGTTTGATTCAGAAAATCAAGTTAAAAACAGTTCTGAGATTCCTTATGAAGTTTCCAGTGATTTGTGACTAGATTTTATGAACTTTACAGATAATGTTCTTTAATGTGATGTCATCCTGTGCCTTTCATGTATGTGAAATTTGCTCATACAGCTTGGAAGTTGTATTTGCAAAATTAGGCCTTCGATTTTTATAAATGTAAAGATTCCTCAGAACAGTGTCACAAGACCTTTAGTTCCTCTCAAGTATGCAATTGTATAATGTCCAATTTTTTAATGGCTTTCATTTGTTATTTTTATATTTAGGAACTAATTAATAAGGAATATTATAGGCTATTTTCTTTTTAATTTTGCTTCTTACCTATTATATAATTTTATGCACATACTTTATTAAATAGAGTATGTTTTTATTTCTTTATTTATTTGGTACAGCACCTCACTACGCAGCTCAGGTTCGTAGTGATTCTCCTGTCTCAGCCTCCCCAGTGCTAGGATTACAGCTGCGTGCCACCATGTCAGGTTTCAGTGGCTGGCTTGGTGCGCCTAAGGCTCTGGGGCCGGCATAGTGTACAGTACCAGGGATCCAACCTGGGTCCTTGCATTTGCCAGGCAGACGCTTAGAACAGCGAGCTAGCACCCCAGACCTAAAGTAGGTTTTATATGTGTGAAAACATTTCTGATTAAACTAGATAAAAATGTACTACTTACCAATTAGTAAAAAGTAGTATATCATTTTTCCTAATCCCATTTAATCACTATATATTATTGCCAGCTAGCACTTGTTATTGTCATAATAACAAAACCATTCATGCATATTATTCAGTGTGGCTGTACTAAAAGGCCTTAAAGGAATCCAAAAAGACTACTAACTCCTATATTTTTTAGTTTAACAAAAGGCAATTCGGTGTTTTCATGCTTATGAGTTATAAGGAAAAAATGCAAATCGGCACCGTGAACCTTAAGAATGTATGCTACAGAGTTGCAGTAAAGGGAGAAATTCATTCCTTACTGTTTGGTCAGTGAGATTTTTCTAGGATTTTTTATTAGTGAGTTGGGTTACAGAATTAGAACATGAATTGAATGATAAAATACCTCACTTAAGTATTAGAGAGGATATAGATTTGACTGAAAAATTAGATTTAGACATTTCATGATACAGTTACTTTTCCCACCTTTAAAATAACTATCTCCACTAGCATCTTCCTAATAAAAAAGAATTGCCAGTCTTATTTGTAGCTGTAACAAAGTTTAATCAAGTACATTATGAAGACTGTGTTGGTGCTTTCACCGTCAGTGAGAAAAAGATGTGGCTGTTATTTGTTTAATCTACCTTCCTTCAGAGTATGCCTAGAACTCTGTGTGTGTGTGTGTGTGTGTGTGTGTGTGTGTGTGTGATTTGATACACGTTAGAGGTTTATCTGATATGAGTATGAAATCTTACGTGGCCTAAAAAAATTAAGTTTTTACAAAATTTCAGGAAACATCCTCCTTCCACACAACTCTGAAGTCCTCAAAGATTATAAATCCTGTGTGTGTGTGTGTCTGTCATCACATGTGTACATGTGTTTCTCTCACACACACACACTATATATATATGTATGTATAGATATATAAAGGCTTTTCAGGTAACTAAATAGAAAACTTTTGTTGAGTTTATAGATTATGTTTCTCCTGCCATATGATCAGTACCTATTATATTTGGTTTGGGTGCTGTTTCCTCTCTACACTGCAAAATATGCAACTTTTTGTCCCCCCACACACACACATGGGTTGACACAAGTTATAGTAATCACTACCAAAAAGTCATCCTTTTATTTTTAGAAAAAGATTAAATAGAGTTCAGGAGACCTGCTCCACTCTCCTTAATCTAGTATAACAGTGCTAATGTTTTTTGTGTGCTTGAATTCACACAAAAGCTTAAAGATAAACTTTATAACTCAGTAATTCTGCCACATAGAGGCCCACTGGACAGCAGGTGTTGACTTGGAAACTTGACTGAGATAGCTCACTTTCTTATTGTTCTTCTAAAGTCCCCTAACTTTTATGATCCAATGAGATGATTCAACTGTGCAGCCCACTGGCATTCAGGGGCTTCCTCTGCCGGAATCAGCCCCTCCCAGATGAGCTGCAGAGCGTAGTCATTCATTACTGCCCAGGAAACAGTGGATTGCAAATCAGTAAGGAAATTTTTTCGTGTAATATCATCCTGCCTTCCAGAAGTTTGCTTCTCTAATCTTGTCCTCAAGTAACATATCCACATTTTATTAGAGATCTATTTGCATGTTATCTTACCATGCATTCCGTGAATTCTCAGCAGCGTTGTATCTACTAAAAAATAAATAAATAAATAAATAAATAAGTAGGACCACAATTTAAAAAAGAGAAACCCATGAAGAATATCTAAACTACCCTGATTAATCTACACATTTTAACTTCAGGGCTAGAAGGACAGCGTTATCCGGCCTGTGCAGATGCCTAGCACAGTCTATTAAACCGTTGGTTTTATTTCATAGATTAAGGGATTCCAGCACCATTGGGGGAGAAAATAGAATGGAGGATGTTCTCCAAGATGAAGGGAGGTGGGAGACCAAATGATTGCACAGTGAAATCATTTCAAGTGAACTGAAAAAATAGGCAGCTTTCCAAAATATAAATGTTGCATGGCATAAGAACAGTTATTGGCCAACAAATGTTTTTAAGTCTCCTGTTCAGATATGAATAGAAATACAAGTCTGTTCACATAAAACAAAGTTGACCTACACAGACTACACAACTTGTAGGGGAGTCCCCATGGATAGTTATCAGCCTCAAGCTCCCTTTGCTCTTTTCCTTCCAGGCATTGACCCTAGTTCACCTGTGACCTGCATTGGAAGTAATCATCAGCATCATTGTCATGAACCAAACTTAATTTTGAGCACAAGCTTAAGTGTGCTTAAAGCATTTTCTAAGATAAATTTTAAAATGTCATCTAGGCCCTTCAAAGTGTCTAACAAGGACGACGTAGGGTAATGATTCATTATTTTGATTCCCACAGCACTCTTATGAGGTATTATCAGCATTTGTCAATGAAGAAATTGCAGTAGAGGTCAGAAAGACTTTCCTTAGACCAACCTTCTAAGAAACTTAACAGAACTGGGACAAAATCCTAGCTGTACAGGATTCTGAAACTCAGACTGCACACATTACTTCGGGGGGAAAAAGGAACAATATTTATCAGAAACTCAATGTCAAAGAGAGGGGAGAGGATATTTTTTCTTCACAGAACACATATAGTACTTTGTGTCATACGTTGTGATGATTTCTATTTTTAAAGACTTGGAGGTATTTCACCTGTTAGGATGTACTTAATGTTCTGAGAGTATATTAACCAATTTGTCCTGATTTTTTAGCATTTTGAAAGCACAAGATACTTTAATTGTACATAGCCATCTACCCTGCAGAGTGGACACCTGGCTCTCCTGGGCCACTTCGCACACTGTGGACAGCAAGGAGAGAGACCGGCCCCTCTCTGCCCTCATCACAGATCACACTCCTTCTGCTAGGGCTCGCAAAGAGCCAGCAGACATTGCAACCAGGTTTAGGACGTGAAACTCTTCCCCGTATAGTGGTAAAGGCCTCATCCTGTTCTCTGTATGTGCCCCCACTCACATTAAACACATAATGCTGAACTAAAGTCTTTATGGAGAAATCTGCAATACTATTGTGTAAGTTCCATTGGGCATAAATCTTGTTTTATATCTGGGTTTATTTGCCTTTATTTGATACATATAAGAACCTCAACTATGCACCATGTGTTGTTCTAGGGACACAGATGTGTAGAGGACAAGTTGGAGAATGTCTTCACCCTGGTGGGGCTGTGCTTGAAGGTGGGGAGGAGACACAGAATGGAGTGATTCCACTCCAATGTAATGGGCTGTTAAGGCAGAGGAGTGCCCAGGGGACTGTTGGGCTCATTAGAAAAGAACATGGAATTCTGAAAAATCTTCCTGGAGAAAATAACACCTGGGTTGGGGCTTAACGAGTGAATGTGGGTTAGACTCCCATTAAACTCCAGGACAAAATACAAAATAGTAGTTCCCAAAGAAGGGTAAGTTGGAGAGTTATTGTGAGGACTTAATTAGTATTCCAAAATTCTACCTGCAAAGGTCCAATTTGATCTCAAAGGAAATCCAAGAATCTAGATTTTGTTCAGCTCCCTACCCAGGAAATCCTATCTGAGATGAGCTGCTGTCATTTAGCACATAGAATCCTTGGTGGG